ACACATTACTTTAAAAATAAGGATTGACTGTATAAGTAGAATTCCATGTCCCAAGTTCTCTATTAACTTTACAATAATGACCATTTTAACCTGTTACAAACAGAGTCCAGATTAGTAAGGTCAGGTCTGATTTATATCTCTCTTTAAACATTTCACTGTTATGACAAGGAGTTGTTGATTTAATGGGTGGAATTTTTTTTTCTGTTTGTTTTTAAAGGACAGCAGACCTGAATTGCTGGAAACTGTTGTCATTTGTATTGTACTTGGGTCCTAAATTCTACCAAGTGTAATCTGAGTAACAGGACTATGAGTGTTCTTCAGTGAATTTGTAGTCTGACAGAAAAACTTGTTTGCCTACCCTGTGCTGTATTTTTCGTTTAAAAGGTCGTCTTTTCCATTCCAGAGTCAAGAGACTAATACCATTGGGCTCAGTTTTGACAGCAAGATGAACGTAGTTGGTCTCCAAAATCATACAGACATTCCTCAATTTTGACAGCAAGATGGACATAGTTGGTCTCCAAAAATCATACAGACATTCCCATAGGCTTTCTAGGGCAGATCTGAGAAGCAAAATTCTGGTTGTGGGTGTGTAGACTTCTGTCTGCAGTGAAACTGTGTGAAGATGACTTCTCTTCCTGGACAGTTTTTGGAGCACACAAATAGAAAAGCCTGTAGAAACAGTGTGTTTCATGGCTGTTCTGCATGCCCGTTCTAGCTGAGCTAATGCTAACGCCACAGACATCTTTCTGAATTGTCTTATTTCATATGGAAATAGTTTTGGTGCTTGATATGAGACCCAGAGTGTCCCTTATGATGTTTAAACTGGCACCTGTTTTCAGTCACTGGGATTTCAGAGATTGTATCGAGGATGTTGGATAACTGTCTCCAGAGGCAAATCATGAGAGCTGTTGGAATTCTTTAAAGCTTTGGGTGTTTTTAGTTTTGGTTTGTTTTTTTCCTTTCTCTTGTAGGTCTGGAAAATTAAATTCTTTAGTGCTATGGCACTCAGCAGTGGTGTACAGAAACAGCTCCCTTGTTCAGCTTTGTGTCTTTAAACATGCGCAGTTATGTTAAGAAGCTGTCACTGGCCTTGTGCTGTGTGGAGATGATTTGCCACAGCTGGGCTGGCATTAACAAGTCAAAAAGTTGTGTTTCATCAATACTGGACTACGTTTGAACCTTTGACATAGAGCTTAAAGGCTGTATATCCCACTAACAGTGCTACAAATCAGAACCCTGAGCCCTTGCTTACCTCACAGAATTAGTGAATTACATGGTTCACGCTTTACAAAAGGCAAAGGGAAGACTGTCTCTTCCTCTGAGAATGCACACTTGTTCTCTGCAAAACTCACCAGGTTTCTGAAGATGCTAAACCCTCACTAGTTGGAATAAGGTATCTCTTCTACTAAAACCTACACTTGTATCTTCAGCAGTACTGGTCTAAAAATTAATTCAGAATGATACTTTCTTTGAGTTAAATAAGGTACTCTTTAAAGCCCAGCTAACCAAATTCACTTTCTAAAGTACTAGCACAGCAAGATAAAATTCCAGTGTCATTTCAGATCTATGTTTGTAATTTATTATGTCTGGTTTTTAAAATTCAAAATACTGCATTTGGCCCTCTGCTAGAACTCACAGCAGTTGTGGACAGTGAGGGGAAACTTTAGTCTCAGGTTTTGATTTTAGCTTTTGGGGTTTTTTGTATCCCAAATTACAGGTAGCCAGTGTGGAATGGACACAATAGTACCGAGCTTCCCCTACCTCGTCTGACTTTTATAGAGAATAATATTTAGTAAGACTTGAACAGTCTCTTATAATATGGCTGGCTGAGTCAACAGATGGTTAGAAAAAAATCTGAATTCTCTCTTTAACCACCAGAGGGAGATTTTTATAAAAAAATTAATCTGTTTTTCAGTTGATAGCATGTATAATGCAACATCCTGAACGCTCAGATCGTCCTTGGATCTACCAACATTTTGATCCAAGCTTTAACAGCTTAGAAGACTTAGAACAACAACATAGAAGAAGCTTAGAACAACATATTACGCTGTTGTCCTTGATGTTTAAAATATGCTTTTTTATTTCTCTTCCTCATAAACAATTTTGCTGGAGTACCCACTAGAGCTATGGGATTTGGAAAATCTTACAAATACAAAGGTTTTTAATCTTTCAAAATTGTCACAATTTTTTTTTTTAAAGCTAATCACTTAATGCATGCAACAGTTATCAGACTTGATGAGAGATTTTTGTACTTAATCACCTCAAAAAATAAGCAATAGATAAGAACAGTGTATTTGACTGATATTTATCACTAAGGCTTTTTAGGACATAAATGAATACTTTTGGCTTGGCCAACTATACCTGAGATCATGCTGCCTTTTCTGAAGGTGCACTGAACAAGAGTAATATCGCTGTAAATGACTGCTTTGACTGTTGAATCACTTATTCCTGTGACTCTCCACAAGATGGGCTTACCCCCACCATGCCTACTGCTGAAAGTAATCTTGCAATAGTGAATGAATATTTTAATAAAATGATCATGCAATATTTAACTTGCAGTACCCTGTACAACTCCAAAAGGTGGCGAATATTTCTGGTTCCCACTGTGCCTTTGTTCCTTTAGCAAATACAAGTTCAATAAGGCACAGGCTTCTTTTTCTGGTTTAGGACCCAGAAATGCTGCATGGAGAAGTTCCTGTCTGACCTCCCCATTTCTTCTCTTGGGCCTCTGCTACTAGTTGTGGTCAGGGAGATACCACTGTGTTTCTGCATTCTTTCTTCTAATCATTGAAATTGAAAGAAAAGTTGGAGTTTTTTTATCTTCTTCCTCTGTCCCCTTTATGTCTGTTCTGTGTAAGCTCTTGTGAATTGTAGTGCTGTTCCAGTCGGGTCCTTCACCTCATTACTGTTTCACACAGAGACCACTCTGTTACTTGATGGTGTGAAATTGATGTCAGCTTTAATAAGAATTAGTTGTTTTAAAGATTAGTGGGCACCTTCTAGTATTTTTCTGCTGAAATGTGAGGGAATCCTGTCTGTGTCTTGGTGAGAGGAATGCAGTGGGTTCCTGTCAGCCAGAGGATCTATAGTTCTGCCCTAACCCTGTTTCGTCACTGAGCAAGCCCAAGCTGCTTTGTAGTTTAACTTTTAATTAAAAGGCTGAAATGCCCCCACACCTAATTGCCCACATATCAGTGCTGCATGGGAATTTTTTAAAGCAAGCCAGATACCTTTGAAACAAAAGACTGAACTGCATGAAGAAGAGACTTGAGGGAAGCCATGCAGGCAGAGAGAAAAAACCCAACATTATTAAATAGTTCGTAGGTATATAATTTCATTCACATTGTGCAGGGCTCTGATCCTTTCACGTCTTTGTTCTATAAATAAATGGGAAGTTTGACATTCCAGATTTAAGGTGGGACTCCATTAATGATTTTTGCTCATGAGAAGAGCTACATAGATTAACGTAAAGCTTTGTTTGGGTTAGGATTGTTTATTGTGGTGAAGACTTAAGGGGAGGAGATTTATGTTTGGAAAGTGAAAGCAGAAAATATTGATGCAATAGCAAATTGCAGTTGGGTGACATTAGTATTCAAGAAAAATTTTCTAAAGAAAAAAAATCACTGTAGTAAAGCAGCTGCTTTTTATTAGACTTGCATCTGTAAACCCTGCGTGGGGACTTAAACACAGCTGTGGTGCTGTAGCCCTCAGATGCAAAGTGATCCTCTGTCATTGTAGGCTGAGACAAGTCAAATCAGCCTGCGCATCAACAAGAGCTGTTCTCACAGTTAGTGCCTCTCAGATGCAATTTCTTCATCACGTGTATGAACCAAGACTCAGAAGCTTCAGTTCTTGAAGGGGACCTATAGGAAAGATGGGGACACACATTTTAGCAGGGCCTGTAGTGATAAGACAAAGGGTAATGGTCTTAAACTGGAAGAGGGGAGATTTAGACTAGATGTAAGGAAGAATTTTTATTTACAATGAGGATGGTGAAACACAGGAACAGGCTGCCCAGAGAGGTGGTAGAAGCCCCATCCCTGGAAACATTCAAGGTCGGGCTGGACAGGGCTCTGAGCAACCTGATCTAGTTGAAGATGTCCCTGCTCACTGCAGAGGGGCTGGAGTAGATGACCTTTAAAGGTCCCTTCCAACCCAAACCCTTCTACGACTCTATGATTTTTATGGTCCCCATGAGTATGGATTTTGGATACCTCTGCCTCTTTAATGCATTCCCTCCCTCTTAATCCTGGGAGGGAATATTGTTCTCTCTGTGGTGCTGGGAGGGGATACGCTAAGGTTTGCATTGCTTTTCCCTG